AAAAAAAAAAAATAGCCAGGCATTATGGTGGGCGTCTGTAGTCCCAGCTAACTTGGGAGGCTGAGGCAAGCAAATCACTTGAGCCCAGAGTTGGAGGTTGTTGTGAGCTATGAAGCCACAACACTCTACTGAGGGTGACAAAGTGAGACTCTGTCTAAAAAAAAAAGAAAATGATACCACTAAAAAAGAAAATGATACCTACTTGACAGGTATGCAAAAGCTATCACACTACCTAGAACTGTGCAACTTTTTACTAAGTTAGCTGAACTGGGAAATAACAGCCTATTTCTAAAGTGGATAATTAACACATCACAAAAGTTTATTAATCCTACAAACTATAAAATATTTCAAAATATTTATTTTGTTTTAAAGAAGCTGAAAAATTTAAAGAAACTTGGGGAGAAAGCATGAATAAGTTGACATTTATATAGTTCAATTCAAATCCCTTTTGAATTGGAAGGCTTTAGGAAAAATAAGAAACCTTTGACTACAATGACTGGGTCTAGCCCAAGTACAGAAAAACTCAGGCTGGGTGCAATGGCTCACGCCTGTGATCCTAGCTATTTGGAAGGCTGAGGCAAGAGAATCGCTTAAGCCCAAGAGTTTGAGGTTGCTGTGAGCTGTGATGCCAGAGCTCTCTCCAGGGCAACAGCTTGAGACTTGGAGATAAACTACACTACTGAATACCTGTAGGCTAAATATTATTTTCATTTTCTTTGAAATAAACCTTCAGGCTAAGAATAAAGCAGCAAGATGGAAGCAGACAACAATATGGGCACTTAAAATGTAAATAGTTAATGATAAGTTTCGAGCCACAGACTAAATTTCTCACTCAAACTCAGACCACCACCCCACCTTTAACACTGCTTTTTTATCTGTGTGATCTTAAGAAACTTATAATATCTAAGCCTTGGTTTCCTTGTCTGTAAAATATGGCCCATAATACTAACTACATCAGATGACTGTAGTGAGAATTATGTAACTCAATCAGCACAAGTAAATTGCTTCAAGAACTTCTGGCACATGGCAGGCACTCAATATATTTTGACTGTTATTATTCCTACTTGGAGTTTCTGTTAGAAAAATGTTAATCACTGAATTAAAATTATTTACAACAATATTTCACAAATATCCTGTAATTTTTCTAAGCCCATTATTTGGATTCAGTTTTCTTTACAACTTAGATTTACAAAGGCAGGTCAGTAATTCAGTGCAACTGTCCTTCCCTGCTGGATAAAAATTTAAAGTCATTTTGTTTTAGTCATTGTCCACCTGCTTTATTGTACAGCCACAGATCTTCCAAATGGAAAAAGGGAGATTAGGGGCTATTCCCACAGTGGTAAAATTATATAAAAGAGATTTAACATTGCCATGTTAGGAGAATATAATTCTTGTGATGCCATGGCATGAAGCCATAATCTTAAAATATTTTATACAAATAATTTTTATAATGAATTAAACACAAGATATGAAGGTTACATGTATTACTTAATACATGTACTTTTAAATACATATTTCAAAGAACTGATCACAAATCTACACATGCTTTCATTTCAAAGATGCTAACTTAACCTAAAAGCCCATACTTTCCAAATCACCATGTAAAGTTTTCCAAACGTGCAAAAGATATAGAGGTAGAGGAGGTTATTATGTGATAGTCGAATAAAAATGTGCTCTAACACTTGACATTCTACTTGTATTTAAAGGGCAAATAATTCAGTCTCACAAAAATAAATCCCTTTTATTAAAAACTTTTAAAACACTCCCCAAAAGAAAACTATTTTTCTCTAGTCCTAAGGTATTTTTGGTAGCCTTGTAAAGATAATCCATGAGCAACATATTCTAAATTGCCATTTTTCAATTCAAATTGAACATCAATATTCCTAGTCTTCAATATAGAAATTTGAGTCTTGTTTTCCAAGGAACTGGTGTTCTGAGTAGAGTCCAATCGAAGAAAATTCCTTGAAATATTAGTTTGCAATAATTCAAACAAAGAACCACTACAATCCTAATAAACTGACATAGTTAGCTGCTGTAAAATTATGGACTAATGTAACAAGATAGGTGGAAAATAATTACAGTATTTTCATATCCAGAAGAAACAATTTGAAAGTAATTTTACACCACTGCCAACATTTTCAAGTGAAATTTACAGAATGTCTCTGAGAAAAGTGGAAATCCCTACAGAGAGTAAGTCTTTTTAAAATGTGAAACACTATCAAACAACTTGGTCTTTGAACCTTGATAGCTGTTTCAAAATAAGTGAAACACAGGCATTAGGGCAGATTCAAAGGTTTTTAAAACATGTGTCAACTTCTCCTCACCTGTTAACTAAGCCAAACTATGAACATCCATTTACACAAATCAAAAGAACTCGGATAAATCGACCCCCAAATTGCAAGACGTTTATACAGTGAAAATACAAACATTCTGCACTAACCACGAGAAAAACAGCAACACTGGTGAACAAAAATCTATCTTCGCAAGGAAAAGCATTTTCTCTACCTAATGTAGAGTTGTAGATCCATGAACCAGTGTTGCCAACCTGAAACAGGACCAGAAAAATGTAGCAAAAACATTAAAAAAAAAAAAAAAAAAGGAAAAAACGCACAACAGTATGTTCTTAAAAGTGTCAAACAACTATGAACTTTCTTAGCTCCAAGCAAAGTTTCATGCCTGCTTTACAGATGGGTGAATTAAGTCAAAAGATCAGATTAATCAGTGCCTTTCTCAAGGTCACTCTAGTGCAAAAGAACAGCACGCTCCGGACTCCCAATCTCAGGTCCCCCGACTTCTCCACACTCCCTGGCCGCAAAACTCAAACGTGCTCGGCCCTATTCGTACCTAAAATGTCACCAGGCACTCCAAGAAAGGAAACATTTAGAGCTCTCTGGGTGTACCTGTGGCCTGTCTTTCTCGGAGGTGGCCGAGGCCCCAGCTGCCCCACCCGTTCTCGGGAAGCGAGAGCCACTGTCCCCAAAGAACCAGGGAAGTGGCCCAGGGCCGCGAGGGCTGCAAAGGTTCCGCCGCAAAGGGTTTCCACTTACCGTCGCTCTCGGCCCTGACAAGCAGGGACATGCCCTTCAGCCGCTCCACGTAGCCGGACGATACATGCCCGGTGCCCCGGTCGTCCCACTGTCGGTCCTCGTTGAGCGTGTAAACCTTCACTCGCCGCCGGGTGTCGGTCATCGTGCCGTCCGGTATCCGGGGCAGGGGCACCGCCGGAGACGCCCAGCAAAGGGGTCCAAGAGAGGCGGAAGCCGAGACGGGAGGGCGCCCGCAAGCGGAGGGCTCCCCGACCTCACTGCCGCCGCTGGCCTCCTCGGGGCCGCGCCGCCGCCTGCATGGTCCGCTCCCGGGCCGGAGATCCCGGCCGCCGCCTTTCCTCGCCTCCGACTCCTCGGCGCTATTGTCCGGGCCCGGCGGGGCCGGCCGCCCAGCAGCCCCAAGGGGGGCGCGCAGCGCCTCGTAGCCTCCTGTCCCGCCGCGCTAGGAACTCAAGGTTTCGGTCACTGCCCTGCTCCCGCCTTCACCATGATCTCCGCGAAACCGCTTCCCGCGTCTCTACCGCCTCCTCAGGCCGCCGCCGCCGCCATGTTTTCCTTCCTTGTACCTGGCCCTGCCACCGCGGGCTCCGCTCCGCTCCCCCTGCTTCAAATGTCCAAAGCCAACGGGCGCCTGCTCCCGCTGCAACTGCTACCACTTCCCGGAAGACTCTGAAGGCCTTTGGCCGCCCGGGCGCCCCTGGTATTGGAAGTCGCTTTCCCCTCTCCCGCCACCGCCGCCTCTTCCGTCTTCCTCACGAAGCCAAAGCCGCCGCCATCTTGGTTCGCCCCTCAAAAGCGGCGCGCGGGGCCACCCAGGCAGCAGCTGCAGGGGCGGCCGGTTGGCCCCACCATTTAAAGAGACAGGAGTGAGGCTGGGAGCCTCACTGCGGTGGAGGCCTCGGACGGAGGCGGGAGGCGGGTGCCGAGTTGCCGAGGTGGCTGGAGCGCAGGGAGCGGAGGAGGCGGGACGCTGGTCGCGCCGTGACAGCCCGGGGCTCCCTCGCGCTTCCCTGCACGCACCGTCGTGCGAGCGCGGGGCGGTGTCGCGTCCGTCGCGCCCTGTGTTCGTCATCAGCCCTGCTCCGGGTGGCGAAAGGGGCGTGGAGTCCGCTAGCTCTCGCGCCGTTGCTGTCCCTGTTCTGCGGTCAGCGGCCGCGTTGGGCCTGGGGCTCGGCCCGCTGTGCGTCCGCCTCCGAGAGTGGCCTCTGGGGCCGCTTTTGGGGTTGCACTGGGCTCACGGATCCTACCCAGACCCTTGCGGACTTCAGGCGGTTGTCCTTTGGGGTGAAATTGAAAAGCTTCCGGGAAGGATTCTCAGGTTTGGGCAGAGAGAGCTGCCCACTCACCCACTGGTGTGGCGAGTGTAGAAGCTTGGGACAGTTTTCGTCTTTTGGACATGGGACTAAGTCCCAAGCGACAATTCTAAAACGTCACCATACAATTCAGCTGAGTTCCAAGTGCTCCATTTTTCATCCATTAGGTATCAGAAGTGTTATTTTCTAGTTCTCTTTGTTGCAAAAAGAATTCAAGGAATTTATAAAAGCAAAGAAGATACAGTATAATGAGGAAGAGTAGCTAATGAGTTTTGAACATCTGCTTGATGTTAAGCACCGCTAATCTCCACAAAGGAGTAACATTCTCATTCCTATCATGCAAATGATACCTACCATTTGAGGGACTTTTGTTGTTGCTCAGACTGTCTAGGTCAATCTTGTCCACTAGAAATACAATGTGAGCCACATAGGTAATTTTAAATTTCGTAGTTGCCACTTTTTAAGAAGTACGAAGGAACTAATGAAATTTATTTTAATAACTATCGCAGTATTTTCAAAATACCTGAATTGTCATTATAAAATTATTAATGAAGTATTATTTTCTGTACCATGTCTTCAATTTATGTTTCCCTTACCCCTTAAAGCAGTTCTCTATAGGATGCTAAATTTTCATGGCAGTATCTGATCTGTATTTGAATTCATTGTATCAAACTTGCAATGTATTTAATAGTTTGTGTTACACGCTGGGTTGGAACCTGCCATCCTCAGTGCATGCGGCCAGCGCCGTAACCACTGTGCAACAGGCACTGAGCTGTAGGACTTTCAATTTTAAATCAAAGTTGAGACCTTCCTCTCCCAGAACTTCAAATATAAAAAGAAGTACTTGCAAACACCAGTCTGAAACCAATTTCATCAATTTTTGATGCAATAAAACAGCATTAAATTTATGCAAATAACTACCTAACAAATACAAATATTTTGACCTGGTTGTTTGTACCCTCACATAACCTGAAATAAAGTAAAATAAAATAAATGTATTCACGATAGTACTTATCTGATCCTCAAACATGAAACAATTTGTAGAAAAATTATAAGATGAACAGCAGGGATTATTTGTTAAATGGAAGAAGGATGAAAATTATATCGCCAGGTGCAGTGGCTCGTGCCTGTCATTCTAGCACTCTCAGAGATTGAGGCGGAAGGATGGCTTGAGCTCGGGAGTTGGAGAGCAGCCTAAGCAAGAGCAAAACTCTCTCTACTTAAAATAGAAAAATTAGTGCCTGTAGCTCGGTGGGTAGGGTTTTGGCCACATGCGATGAGGCTGGTGGGTTCGAACCTGGCCTGAGCCAGCTAAAGCAACAATGACAACTGCAACAAAAAAATAGCGGCTATTCTCTTAAGCAAGAGAATTGCTTAAGCCCAAGAAATTGAGGTTGCTCTGAGCTGTGACGCAACAGCACTCTACCAAGGGTGACATAGTGAGACTGTCAAAAAAACCAAAAAAACCCCCAAATTAGATGAACACTGTGGTGGGTGTCTGTAGTGTGAACTTCTTTTTTTTTTTTTTTTTTTTGAGACAGAGCCTCAAGCTGTCCCCCTGGGTAGAGTGCTGTGGCATTACACAGCTCACAGCAACCTCTAACTCCTGGGCTCAAGCGAGTCTCCTGCCTCCACCTCCCAAGTAGCTGGGACCACAGGCACCCGCCACAATGCCCGACTCTTTTTTGGTTGCAGCCGTCATTGTTGTTTGGCGGGTCCAGGCTGGGGATTCGAACCTGCCACCTTAGGTGTACGTGGCTGGCGTCTTAGCCGGTTGAGCTATAGGCGCCGAGCCTAGTGTGAACTTCTTGAGAAACTGAGGCAGGTGGATTGCTTGAACCCAGGAGTTTGAAATTGTTGTGAGCTAGGATGATCCCACCGCGCTCTAGCCTGGGGCAACATAGCAAGACTATCTCAAAAAAAAAAAAATTATGTGTTATAGCCAGGTGTGGTGGTGGGCCCCTGTAATTCCAGCTATTTGGGGAGAAAGGTAGGGGAGGATTGCTTGAGCCCCGCCCCCAGTAGAGTGCTGTAGCATCATAGCTCACAGCAACTTCAAACTTGTGGTCTCAAGCAATCCTCTTGCCTCAGCCTCCTAAGTAGCTGGGACTACAGGTGTCTGCCACAATGTCCTGCTAGTGTTTTAGAGACGGTGTCTTGCTCTTGCTCAGGGTGGTCTTGAACTTCTGAGCTCAAGCCATCCACCTGTCTCAGCCTCCCAGAGTGCTGGAATTACAGGCATGAGCCACCACACTAGCTTTTAATACAAGCTTTAATAATAGTTTTATCAGTCAGGTTCCTACTAGAGAAACAACCAGTAGGATACATCTATACAAACACACACAAAAAAATTTCAAGTGGCTCCCATAGCTCAGTGGGTAGGGTGCTAGCCATATACACCAAGGTTTGAACCCGGCCAGGGCCTGCTAGAACAACAATGATAACTGCAACAAAAAAAATATCCAGGCATCGTGGAGAGTGTCTGTGGTCCTGGCTGCTTGGGAGCGTGAGGCAGAAGAGTTGTTTAAGCCCAAGAGTTGGAAGTTGCTGTGAACTGTGACGCCATGGCACTCTACCCAGGGTGACAAGGATTTGTTTTTACATAATAATGCAGCCTGACTAGACAAGTCTGAAATACTGAGGGTAGGTCAGTAGCAGGAGACCCACCAAGATACAAAGGATAATTTCCTTTACCTAAATTCAAATGGTTGTAGATGTTAATCATACCTATTGATAGTCCCAAGCCACACCTGGATTAGTGTTTGGATAGTTGGGTATTGTGGCATAGCCAAATTGACACAAAACTGTCACAATAGTAAATAAAATGCTTTGATTTATAATCATTTAATCATACGCCCCACACAAATGGTGATATGATTAGGAAAAATCCTAATGGAATCCACCAAGGAGGGGGTTGTAAATCACAAAAGGTTGAGATACCTTATCATAGTAGTCAAAGGTGTGGAAGGTTCATGAGCCCCTTTAGTGGCTGCGTGACATTTCCAAGTTTCTTCACCTCTCTGTGCCTCAGTTTCCTTGTCTGTAAGATAGGAATAATAATAACTTCTAGAGTTGTGAAAGGAGTAAATAAAAGTACTGATTCCTCCTGTGCTCTAAATAAAGCTTTCCCACTAAACTGTTGTACCTTCCCCTACGTGCATAACACAGACCTATAAGGTATATATATACTGGAGCCTGTTCATCATGCAGTGTTTCTACCTACTTTGTTACTCACCTTGATCCATCCACGTTGCATTCATCATCATTTTATAGTGTTGTCTGCCTTAAACTAAAAATCCTGAAAAGGATAGGGACAAGGCTGCTGGCTTGTCACTGCCCAGCCCCAGGAGGTACCATCCACATAAGTGACCTCTGTGTTTGCCAGTGAAGATAATGGTATTTGTATAGTGAGAAAGCCATGCCACCAGATGTTAGGTGAGTCCTTATTCTGGTTCAGCAAGTAAGTTGGTGGTCTAAGATAATACACTGGACCCTTTTAGAAGATGATTTCATTTGTATATGTTAAATTTTTCAATTAATTAAATTTTTTTGAGACAGAGTCTCACTTTGTCTTCCTCAGTAGAGTACTGTGACATCATAGCTCACAGCAACCGTAAACTCTTGGGCACAAGTGACCCTCTTGCCTCAGCCTTCCAAGTAGCTGGGATCACAGGAGCCCACCACAATGTCTGGCTATTTTTTAGAGATGGGGTCTCACTATTGCTCAGGCTGGTCTTGAACTCCTGAGCTCAGGCAATCCACCTACTTCAGCCCCTATTTATTTAATTATTTATTTTTAAAAATTTATTTATTTTTTTTGACACAGAGTCTCACTGTGTTGCCCTCGGTAGAATGCTGTGGCATCATAGCTCACAGCAACTTCCAACTCTTCGGCTCAAGCGATTCTCTTGCCTCAGCTTTCTAAGTAGCTGGGACTACAGGCACCTGCCACAACGCCTGGCTATTTTTTTGTTGTTGTCGTTGTTTAGCAGGCCCGGGCTGGGTTCAAACCGCCAGCCCTGTGTATGTGGCTGGCACCCTACTCACTGAGCTATGGGCACCAAGCCCCCCTATTTATTTTTGTTGATACATAATATATGTATGTATTATGAGCCACATGTGATATTTTGTTACATGCATAGAAAGTGTAGAATTTCCACAAATTTTTTTGTTTTCCACCACAGATGTTTATCATAGCTATGTGTTGAGAACATTTCAAATCCTCAAATAGTTCTAGCAATTTTGAATTATACGATACGTGGTTGTTGATTATAGTCACTCTTCTCTACCATCAAACATTAGACATTGGCTGGGTATGGAGGGGCCCGCCTGTAATCCCAGCACTTTGGGAGGCTGAGGTGAGAGGATTGCTTAGATGCCAGGGGTTCAAGACCAGTATGGGCAGCATAGCCCTCATCTCTAAAAGATTAAAAAAAAAAATAGAACCTTTCCTTTGAGCTAACTGTGTGTTTATACTCATTAACCAACCTCTCTTCATCCCCCGTCCCTCATGCCCATCCTTCCTATCCTTTGGCAGCTATCATTCCATTCTCTACTTCCAACCTCCATGGAACTTCCACCTTTTTTACACTACCACATTTGAGTGAGTGCATGTAATATTTGTTGTTCTGTGTCTGGCTTATTTCATTTCATAGAAT